GATTCCTGGTACCGGAAGAAAAACAAAACAAAAACAAAACCAAAAAAGATTTCAAACAGGAATAAGGGCAGGCCTGACAAATCCTCTGTGACACTTCCCTCTCTTGACCCTAAGTCTTTCCCCCCCATGTTCGGTGACAACAGTCAGCAGGAAGATTGTAAGTGGCTGCATGTTTGAAGCGGCCTTGTGTCATCCAGGGAGCCAGGAATGACCTGGCATCTCTCCCTGTGAAGTGCTGCCCTGGAGCCCTGCTTTGTGTGGCAGAGTGAGCACGTGGTGCCAGTATTACCAGCATAGCAGGACGGAGACGCTCGCCCAGTGTCCCCCATGATTGCTGGGTGTGGGAGCCGCTTCCTGGGGGTGGCGGCTGGGGCTTGTGGGGACCCCACGACTCCCACGGGGCTGCTGACTTGCCCTGGAGGTGAAATGCTTCTGACCCCGGGTCCATCCTGGAGCTACAGGAGTGAGCAGCGGAGCTAGGGCTGGCGTCAGGCAGGGAGCAGGGTATGGGGTCATGGAGGTCATGGGCAGCAGCTGTCTCGGAGACCAGCAAGACCCCCAACTGTCAGCTGTGCTCTGGGTGGGAGCAGCCCGGAGCCCAGGATGAGGGATGCACCTGGCAGGGGAATCTGGAGCTGGCCAACGGGTGCTGGGCACGTCCAGGGCATAGTCAGAGGCAGCATGGCTAGGGCCTGGCTGCTCAGGGACACAAGACCCGGGAGGGGGTGTTGTGCAGAGGGGCTCAAATGTCTGAACACAGCTGATTGAGTGCAGTGTGGAGGCCAGGAGGATCCTCCCCTCGCCCTTCCTGCCTGTCCCCCAGCCTGTCCCGACCTCCGCCCTGTTGATCTTGGAGTGCAAGTGCTGGCCAAAGCCCCCTCCATGCTGTGTCCTGCCCACCCCTCTGCCTTCCTCCTGGAGGTGGCTTTAGAGCACAGTAAGCCCCTGGTGCCCCCTGGTGCCCACACCTCATCAGCCCAACACATGGGCACCTCTCAATTCACGCACGAGGCTGCCACTCCTCTGCGGTCAGTCCTTCTGGAGGGCTAAGTTCATTGCTGCAGCAGCTTGGGAAGACAGAGGGTGGGGTCTAAGTCCCAACCCCCAGGTCTCCTTACACCCGTGACTTTGAGCCTCTCAGAGCCTGAAGACAGGTGAGATAAGGCCTTGCGTGTCAAAGTGCACATATACATTCTCAGAGATGTTCCTTCCCTTTCCTTCCTACTTGAGCTGGGTTTTACCTGTTCGCTGGCAGCCATCCAAATCCTGCTGTCCTCATTCAGACCCTCATCACTCAGGTTGCAAGTGAAAGAACATTTAACTCAAATTAAGAAAAAAAAATTGGGTAGGAGATGCTTGTGGTCTATATTTGGGGGTGGAGGAAGCTAATGTTAGTGGAGTTTTTTGCTTGTTTGTTTGTTTGGGCTTTTTTTGTTTTTGTTTTTGTTTTTGTCTTTTTGAGACAGAGTCTTGCTCTTCAGTTCAGGCTGGTCCTGAGCTCACTTTGTAGCCCAGGCTG